GGGTTAATGACCCTTCTTTTTAAAGGGTAATACACGAAATTATGTTTATTTTTAGGTTCATGTTCTCTTTATATTGGATATTAAATTATAAAGATTTATTGTGTTTTATTAAAATTGTAAATTAATTTCATGACAAAATTAGAAGAAAAGGGAATACCACACATAAACGGTAGGAAACTTAGAATAAAACGTAATTCATATACCTTTAGGACAGTTGTTATTGGATTGTTTGAACACGCAATATTCTCCCTTCGGCCAATCGACATCATACTTTGTGACCGTGTCTTGTGTCTTCACACAAAAATGCTGATATATGTCTCTGCCGTATGAACCACTAACAAAGTGGAGCGGAGATGACCAACGGTTGCCATTGTTATTATCCTCACAATCTTGAAACCTCCAACCGGAATGAAAAGTAAAGCCCGGTGTCTTTGGACATCCGGTGTTGGTCTTTGGAAGTCCAAATGCTCCCTTAGGCCAAGTTATAGGCACTGTCACGATAGGGTCTGAAAAATAAAAGCAATTTTAAAGCCAATAAATTATTATTACGATGTTTCATTTGAAGCTTATTTTTGAATAATTTAGGTTCCAATACAATTACATTTTGCACTTTTAATCAAGGTTATATAAAGGCGATAATAATTGATTTACTGATTATTACCGATCGATCGCTTGATTGATGATTGATTGGTTAAATATTACCGTATACAGAATACAGATATGAATGTTTATGAGTGCAATGGGTAGAATATTTTTATTCGTTGAAAAATTGACTGTTCCATTCAACGGGGCGGAGCCGAGTTATGTGATCATTATAAAAAAGAAAAACATAAATACATTATAAATTCAATTATGTATATGAGTCAAGAAGCACATATGCATACATTCTTAAATGTAGGCATATATACAAAATATGCCCAATAATCCTTATACAGAACTATATACTGTAATGTGAAGCGCTTATAGGCCTTGTAAAGGCATGAAGCGCTATATAAGAACGACATATTATTATTATTATATACGCCGCTTACCTTTCTTTGTTTCATCACAGTTCAACCAGAAAGGGTAGTCTGCTAACGCTAGTTCCATGTTGGATTGCATAGTCGACAGACGTCCATAGAAATCATTGGAAAGAATTCCCGCGCTGACGTAGTTATCGTTCAACTGCCAATATTCAGCTTCAAAGACTTCTTCCATACCCATCAGGGTGTAAGAATATAACATAGCAAGTTTGTCGTCGCCAAGTGTGAAAGTACCAATTTCTAAGCCAGCGCTGAATCCAGTATCCATGACCCCTTTCAGCGAGTCAGTGTTGACAGAAATTGACTTCTTGAAAGCCAGAAACGAACCTCCATCAAAGGTACTCGAAGAATACTTCAAATTCAAGAGTAAATATTGAAATTAAACTTGTGATAAAAGAAATACACATAGTTAATATTTTACATATGAACTGGATAAATTTGTCAAAAAATGTTATAATTAAATCGTTTCACTCTACCAAATTTTGCATACCTGTCAATATAATTATAAAAAATAAAGAAATAAAATAGATATCAATTAAACTTCGTAAAAATTAGAGACATATCATACACTATTGACTTACAGATACAAGATGTTTATTAGTAGCTGTAATGTTTAAAGCAAACGCCGACATAATTTGAGACATATGCATTTTGTTAAACAAAATTTTCGACACTTCCTCAGTCTGCTTTTTTCACCTTATTGCTGAATTCTCGAACAGTCTAAGGTCTATGATCTATAATAACTTTCCAACTAGCTGCCAGTAAATGGAGCCTACATGAAAAAGTCTTGGAGAAAACTAATGGGACTGATATGCAACATAAAATATTTTTATAAAAAAAAATATAAATAATATTTACTTACGTGTTCAGCAGAATAATATGCAAAATCTGTACTCGTCCATTGATAACGTTTCATGATTTTAGTTCCGAGATTAATTTGATACACAAGATGCTGAATTTAACGAAAGAAAAAGTATGTTATTTAAAATTTTTACTAAATCGTCTTTCATTTTATACACTTATGCAGCGAGATACAGTATGCATAGATATTATTGTGAGTCGTTAGAATTTGATTTAAAGTGTATATTTAGCCTATTTGATATTTTTACCGTAAATCTGAGGATGCCCAAATTATTTTAAATACACCACAAGATTAATTCTTCGGCCTCAACAATTAAACATATAGATTCACCCTCCTAATACCAATTTCCTATTTTGACCCACTCTTTAATTTTTGAAAGTTTTTTTTTTCTTTTTTTTTCTTGAAAGGTGATCAATATTTTCAAGCAGATACAACATTGCTTCTGAGACATTTTTGGGTATTTTGGTCCACCATTTCCTTTGTGTTTTATTTTTATAAAAAAAAAAAAAAAAAAAAAAAAAAAAAAACCTTTTGGTGATTTTAAGAAAGATTTAGCGTGCATCTCAAGGTAATTAGATATGCCAGTTACCTGCATATAATTAATACCATTGAGGCACCGTCTACATGCCACACGGGTAGATTAATATTAGTAATTGAAGCTCCGCAATATAAACAACCACACATGCGAGACAACAGCAGCTGATCGAGGAAACTGGTGAAGTACATACAGGGACTGCAACATTTAAGAAAGCTCGATCCAAACTTCATTGGAAAAAAGATCATTACGTCATGCACGCCAACGAGAGCGGGAGATATCATCAGCCAATCAACCCAACACTGACCATCCATATACTTGTAACATTGCGGAAGATTGTCTAACATGCATCGGACTCATTAGTCACCAACGAACGCACATTTAAATTTTAAAAGTAAACCATTTCGTTAATTTGTATATTTCATATGTTTTAAAGCTAGGAACGTCATCATCGCATGTGATTTGACAACCATTAAGAAAAGACATGCAATCTATCGTAAATAACTAGGTAATAACTTATTTTCAGCAATTTAAAACAAAATTCAGAGTTCTCAGAACGGATGTAGGGATAAAAATCAGTCTCCTTTCCTTTGTAAATCTACTTGACACCTTAAAATAGCACAACTGTAAGCTACATTATTTAATTAACCAATTGACCTCATTAGACTACGTTTTTGTGCAAAATAGTACAATTTACATGGCAGCCATATTGAATTTCAGTATGGCCGCCCTGTACCTGAGTGACACAGATGGATTCATTGACATTGAAAACACTATAGGTATAGACACCAAAACCAAAACATTAGATCCCATATTATCGAATTAAAAAACCCCAAAGGATTTGAGTGGCGGCTATTTTGAATTTATGCAAATTGGGTCATTATGGATCAGCAGAACAGGATAGATTTTCGATATTATAATATTTAAGTTAATTTGAACATATTTCAATAATAAGACAAGCTATTGTAATTCGTTTAACTCAATGCCTATTTTACATTTATTTCTACCTGTCTAACTCATAGAACCAGAAGCATCCAAAGTAATGTTTTCCTGCCTGTTACAGTATATGGTGAAGATCGCTAGAGCAGTATCAGTATTTAAAAAGGTCCTACCATTCACGAATGGGTTCAAGGAGAAGTGTCTAGATTTTTATTGAACTCAACCATAGAAAATTCAAAGAACCTCACATATTGTCATTTGGATAGTGATGATATCATAATGCCAAAGATGTAGAGGCACCGAATGAAGAATCTGAAGATAAATACAATGGTGGTAATGATGATGATGATGATGATTATAATGATGTTGATAATTAAGTGTATTTCTGGCTTAACAACGTATAATTGAGTACTGAACACATTCTTACACATGGACGGATTTAGAGGGCAGGCAATTATAAATACGAAGTGAATATATTAAACCTAGCGGAAGGCAAATTTATGGGTGTCTGACAACATCGTGTGAACTTTAAATGTCGATTTAATGGAACAAACTCCAACTAGAGATGGGTATGAATTATTACTCATTCTCATTAAAATCGTAGGTAAATGGATACATAGCACACAGCTCTGCTTCTCATACTTTTTGGGGTGGCGACCCACTTTCAAACTTCCTATACTTTTTTCTCCATAAAGAATATTATCATTTTTGTATTGATTAAAAGAAATAGCTAAAGTTGGGGTATTATACCTATGGAAAAAATGTCTGAATGGTGGAAAAATTTACATATCCGGTTACCGCGTAAAAACGATTTGATAGATTCGTACCACCACATTTTTTGCATAAGTTAGTCAGAAACAATATCCATGAAAAATAGCAAATTTATTACACTATTGGTACTTTCAGAGCGTTTCGCATGCTAACTTTTTTTAATCACATTTTCTTCACGTCCCGTACGTCACAAAACATTAATTAGGATTAAACCTCGTTAATGAAGGTATATAAACTTTTTGATAATATACAAAAAAATCTGCATAAATAAATGTTACATAAAGCATTAACAGGCTCAAATACTTGTCTCTATTTGAGTCTCCGAAAGTCCCGTACGTCACATTTTCAAATAGCTTGGACCTGCCCACGAAAACTGGAACAATAAAAGTGTGAGAAGTGGTAGTGAATCTCAAAGTGCGTGAGAATGAAGAGGAACGTAGAGAAAGAAGATCAGAATATACCGTAATGTAAGGCTATGAAAAGATTTGAAAAATAGCAATATCTTGAATACAACAACTGAGTAATTCACATTCAACAAATGGACTAATATGATCATATTTAGCAATGCCGAATATTTTGGGATAACAATATTTCACCGAGTCAATAGAATGTCATTTGTTTAACGTTATAAGCCTAACATTTTCTGATAATTCTGTCTTCACTTATATTAATCAAACGTGCCAAATATCGTATAACATTAATAATGCAATCTACTGATATGGAAAACCTTCCACATTCACCTCATAACACCGCCTCTCTGGGTTCCGATTTCCAATTCCTAAAATACAGAATAGTACGGAGCCCCTAAAGGGACATGGTTTAAAAAAAAATATTTAATTATTTCGAGTGAACGAAATAATATTTCGTTCCCTCGAAATCATTTCATTCCCCCGAAATAATATTTTGAGGGAACGAAATCATTTCGTTAACACGAAATAATATTTCGTTCCCTCGAAATAATATTTCGTTCCCTCGAAATAATATTTCGTTCCCTCGAAATAATATTTCGTCCCCTCGAAATATTATTTCGTTCCCCTCGAAATATTATTTCGTTCCCTCGAAATATTATTTCGTTCCCTCGAAATATTATTTCGTTCCCTCGAAATATTATTTCGTTCCCTCGAAATATTATTTCGAGGGAACGAAATATTATTTCGAGGGAACGAAATAATTTTGAGGTCGCCCTTATAACTTTATGACAACCGTATCACCACTCACAGATGCCTGCTTTTTTCCTGTCATAATAATATTTAATTAAATATTTTTTCTAGCCATGTCCCTTTAGGGGCTCCGTAGAATAGGCCCTACGGTACCTAGAAGATTTGATCTGGGAATCATCAATAGGTTAATTAAATATGAGAATATTCAATCTTCATATTCCACTGCAATAAATTATAAATACATAACCCGACCAGATATTATGTAAAATTTTTGTTGTTGTTTTTGTTTTTGTTTTTTATTGTAATGAAATAGTACAAAGATTTATCCATGTGCTAGATGAGTTGAAACTACAGGGGTTTTTTTAAGTGCGTGTTGGGCGGGGAGGGGGGAGATGGTTCAGGGGGAATCATCTTACATATTTTTTTGTAATGAATTTGACATTACAGTCAAACTCTGGATATACAAAATTTTATGTACGTTTTTTATTGTAAAAAGTGCATATGATAAAAGAAATTCTTAAATTTTTATATACGATAAAGACTACAACAAATATTTTTATATCAATATATAAGATAAAATGTCACTCACAGTTCCAAAATCATGAATGAATTGCATATAGTCGGGGTCGGAACTATTTTGTATGTACCTAGCCGGAAGTGCATTCGCCCTATGTACGAATGTTTTGGAAAGCGGATAGTCGTCGATCCCCGCAAGCTCTGATGTAAGCCGTGCCTGCCCGAGATGGCACAAGTTTAATTCTTCATAGTAAATGTATGCATTGGTTTGCAATGACGCTGATATTACTTTATAATATGTAAAATAAATGGTTATTACGTTGTGATACGACTATGTGTCAACATCTAAGATTCGGTATAAATTTATTGCAAACACAAATAGAAGCTTTGGTATATACCATTCAGATTAAATGAGAGAAGACGAAAAATAAAGTAAAATAAAATAAAATAAAAATCAATAGTAAAACAGTAACATCTTTAAAAAAAAGCTTCAATATTACATAAAAGAGTGAATCGACAAAAAAATATCATTAAAAAGTAATATTATTATCATTATGCTACATCAGTTATCCTAATGGGTATTTTTGTAATAAAATCTTTCCTTTAAGATTGTTCTAAAGTTACCTAATGATGATCTAGAAGTTCATACCTATGATTCCAGCAGTAATAGTATGATGATGATCATACAATTACAAATCATTATGGTATTTCATCATAATGTTGTAAATTATAAGTTGCCGACTTCCTCAGCCCATTCTGCAGACAGTAGCCGACCCAACCGACTTGAATTTTAGTAGAATCTTTCGTAGCAGTAATAACCCAAATTTCCACCCGCACTAATAATAATAATAACTTTATTGTCTGTCTTTTGTACAGAGGCACAATCGCTAAAGAGATGTGCAACAATAATTAACAATATAAAAGTAATAACATATATACATTTGTCTTGCTATAGACATTTCTTACAAATACACTGTCTAATTAATACTTTATCAGTGTTTTGATTTTTTTACTTAACTTACGCATCCCAAGAAATTAAATACACGCCACCGCGCTCGACACTGCTCACGCCATTGCCAGGAATTCCTGACGATGCGTGACCAATGCCGAAACTCGACGGTGCGCATTCCATCTCCCGGAGAATGAATTACACTTTATCTGAATAAACTGAAAAGAAACATAAATGAAACTTAAGAAGAAAAAAGAAAGAATAAAAGAAAGAAAAAAAAACGATAATATTTTTTTCTCTCTCTTCCCTCTTCCCTCCCCTCCCCTTTCTTTTTCTTTTTTCCTTCCCCTTTTCTTTTCCTCTCTTTTTCTTCTAACCCTCTCCCTACTCCTTCTCTCTCTCTTTCCTATTTTTCCTTCCCCACTTAAACGAATTTTTAAAAAATTATTTATCATTATTATTATTATTATTATTATTATTTAGGCTTATCCTGGTTAAAGCATGATTTTTGTTTTACTAAATATTCCACACATAAGTATAGGACTAGTCCAAGTTACGGTGCAAAAATAGCACTGATATTCCTAGGTAGTTTAGATTTTTAGCGTTTAGCTCTAACTTAGCTAAGCCTTACTATCCCATCACAGTGCCTACTTCTGAGAGCCCAACGACACCTGATCCTATTTTTGTGAAAAAAAAAAAAAAAACCCTGCAAAGTCCACTCTCTTGGTTTGTGCGCTTAGACTATGTAGTGGAGTTTTACAAAAAAAAATGATAGAAAGGTAGAGTTAACAAAAACAAAATATCAAATAAAAATGTGAAAATTTCTTTAGGTTTTGTCTTGTATGGTGTTGGGGTGATGACTTGCTCTCGTTATAGATATTTATGTGCATTCTGAATATGATGTTTCACTATAAGAAATTAATCATTATTATGCCTATTTTTCTCCTAATTTAAGAATTTATTCCAAGACAAAATTCTAAAATAGATACTGATTATATACTAAAGTAAGCAATATACAAAAGCAAATTTAATTTCAATAGACATGATTACAACAGCCATTATAATTACGGTATTAGGTAGGCCAGGATATGGTAATTTTACCAACGTCAAGTAATCAAGATAACTTACAATCGCTCTGGCTGTGTTTTGTGGATGCAAATCTGAAGCGAACACCAGCTGAAAATAATTGTATAATTAGATTAAGAGTCACTAGTAAAAAATCCTAGACATTGAAAGTGTAGACATTTTAAGTTGATAGAATTTTGAAAGAGAACAGAAATAATAGTCAAATAAAATTATAATAAACAACAATGATGATGATGATGATGATAATAATAATATTAATAATAAAATAATGATGATAATAATAATAATAATAACGATAATAATAATAATAATAATAATAATAATAATAATAATAATAATAATAATAATAATAATAATCGTGCATTTAATTTTTTGATCGACGAAAATGATATTTGATACCAAAAATACTTTTCAGGCCTATTTTCCTCATACACAAGACATAAACAAATAAATAATATACAACAGTAATGAAAAGTGTTTGTTAAAATTCTTTCAAGTCCTAAGTGATTTTAAAATGTGCATATTTAACACTTTAAAAGAGTATCAATATCAAAACCGAGAAACATAGATACTAGTATTAGGCCTGTAACAATATTCCATCACTAACTTAAAAATAATGAATAATACGTAAAGTGTATACATCTACTTACATTTGTAGCCAACTTGTTTTTCAAATTTTGACGCATAGGCGTATGCATTGTGGAATAGATCCAGATTCTGGGATTTGGCACAACTTGATGATTGAGTAAAGGCAACCTGATCTGGTGTTGAACGCCCTTTATTGAAGGTCCAATCAAATACTCTCCAAGTTGGGCGTAGTCCTGGATCTAGGACAGCAGTCGTTGGGCTGCCATCTGGGTTACCGTAGAGCAAATTGTAGCCTATGCCAAGATAATCAATACCACCAGGATATATTGTCATTGCTTTCACTCCATTTCCAAGCAACATCGGATCGGTCTGGTACGGTGGTGGTTCATTAATGGCATGAGCTAACAGTAGGACATGAAGAAGGAGAAGAAAAACGCATTCCATCTTTTCTGCGAAGGAAAAATATCTAAAATTATGTCAATATGTAAAATCTCTTTAACTGAAATGAAATATTGATTAGTATACTAAATAAGCATATCCAACGAAAATGCACAATTTTGATATTGCAATGCTTTACCAAATCAAAATCATAATGAGTCGTGTTTTATGCAAAGTCAATTTGATTCAAAAAATTGTATGAATCATATTTAAAAAACATATACATATATATATAATATATATATGTATATATATATTATATACATATACATATATATATAATATATATATTTTTAATGGATAAAAGAAACACCACAAAATGTATCAACAGTTTATCTTAGAGGTGTTTTCTTCTGAGGTATGTTTATCAGACATCTGAAGTAGAAAATTATCCTACTCCGGTTGGGTGGCAATCTGTATGGACAAACATAGGTCAACATAAAACAATTGAACTTCAGTAAGTCAACAATATTGAAGATATCACGATTGATAAATAGATCAGACGGTTAGTCACGTTATCCGACTCAGAAATGGATCGAACCTTCCATTTTTAAATAAAGACAAAATTTTGTTAGATGAATCTGTCTTCATTTTCCCTTGTAAGAATCTCATATCATATCATATCATATATCATTCATTTCGTCTTCAGTTCATCACATAGCAGATAAACAACATTAAGAAAGAAAAACGGAAAAGAAACAATGCTAACGTTAATCCTACTGTTTGGAGCTCTCTAAAGTGCCGGTAGCAACAAAATAATACATAAGAAACATGAAGGTAAAGTAAGTTGTTTCATGTTCAAATATATTATTTTATCGATAGAGTAGAATTTTATATAGTAATGCCAGGCTGTAGTAGAGTACTTTTAACTTGGAAACGTAGAATTGAGATTGGTGATTATGCCGGTGATTGATGGTGTTAGAGATATTAAAAATATGATCCCCAGTGTATACTTTAGGCTAAAGTACTTTATAATTTTAAAGACAAAACCCGGTCGTCCTATCAACTGACTGCAACTTGTACATGATTATCATACTTAATAGGCAGATGATAAAAATGATTTCATTGTTTATGCACATTCTAACACAGCCGCCGGATACTTATCATATCGATAAACCTAATGGTCGATCTCTAATTGGTACCACCCATTTGATATTCTGAGTTATCAAAGGACGTTTTTTCATGATGCTACCCAGTCAATTGTCGTCATCGAGCCCTCTAAATCATTTTTTTTTTAAATTTATTTTTATAAATAAATCATGGAGATGGTAGAGTAGGCCTATAAATTGTCTAAAATGGTATATTTTGAACGAACAATAATAGTGATAGTAATAATAAGTCCATTATTTTATAGCACTTCAGCAAAAAAAAAAAGCTTCAATGCGCTTTACAAGAAAAAAAAAAAAAAAAAGACAAAACAAGTAGTAAATATATTTGATTTTAAGTAATTCAACTAAAAACAGTTCCGTAATGTATGTGCGCTATCGGCATAGGTGTCACGCCCGAGTGCACACAGACCCTCTAAGGCAGTATGCTGCCTGGCTCGGTAGCTTCCACCCCAGAATTAAGCCCTCGCCTCAACAACCGTGCGCTGTATAATAATAACGGCGTTGTCTCGAGTAAGGAACAGATGGGGCCAAGCTATGGGACACCCGAAAAACGTAGCACATTCATTAGCTGTAAAACCCTTCCAAATGAAAACAAAAATGGGGAGACAAATATGTGTATTGTCATTTCAAACATGTTTTGTACAGACAAACATGGTATTGTCTTTTACAAAACATTTTTTGTATAGACAAACATAGTTGTGTCTTTTACGAAATATGTTTTGTCAAGACAAAATAACTTTCGTCTATTACAAAACATGATTTGTCCCTTACAAATAGGCCCTATGACTTTTTATGGCAGAACAGGTAATGTGTTCTTTGGCGCCCCGTATTCGAACATGAAGTGACACAAAACAAACAGGAGAAAAACGTTTAGGCCTGTAAAGCTGCGAGTAGCAGGTTATTCCCTACTCTCTACATTTACCTTACCTTTACCTTTACGCAGTGTAGGTCTACTTACTTCTGTAGATCTGTTTGATTCACATATACAATGCGGCCTGTTATTTAGGACTCTCACTTTTATAATAGCAACAACGTTGTGATGTGTTAATAATTGATTCCCATATCATAATAGGCCTAATTAATGTTAGTGAAGTTTCGTGACAAGGATTTAATTAAGTCTTTGATCAGATTGGCCATATCTGCATTCAAACACAAGCTACGCTGTGAGTTATCTACAGTATTTAAATACTGGTTACGTCATTGCGCGTATGGACGTGACTTGAGATTCAAGGTCTATGGCCGAAAGTTCTCGTTACCTGTTGTTTTCAAGTAAATTTTGAGG